ATAATGCGAGCTAACATTTCTTTTAATCTTTTTAAAGCTTTTCCCTCCCCAGAGAAGATCTGAGGAGGAATCATTGTGCATTTGCACGAAAAAACCGCGAGAATTTTTGCTTGAACTTCGCACACCGCTCGCCATTACAGTGTTTTTTTTTTTGCTGGCCGCAATTTGATACTTTCGCACATGATCAGTATGAGCTTTCGCTTGATTCCCAAGCCCTCAATGCGTTTCGCTGACTGTCACAGATTTCTCCCCATACGCATTCCACGTCAGCAACAATCGTCTTTAATTGACTTGAGAAAATCATACAAGATTGGAACCTTACACCGATCGTAGAACATGCGGTGACAAAAACCACGTGATATATTCTGTCAATAATTCTTACACTCGCCGCATCTGTTCACATGGTGGTGATACAGATGGAAAATAACAAAACAAGTGAAAACATTGAATGAACGGGCCACATCCACATCTCGTAGTTTAGTTCGTAAGAAATAGCAATTTGCGAAAACTGGTACAAACTGGTAAGTTCAAGTTTTGAAAGTGTTCATTTCCCAAGTGTTACGGTCTTAATCTTTGCAAAAGTTCTCCATTGATCGCCGCTTTTGGCGAGGTCTGTTAACAGCAGTGACTGGTCAGTGTGAAGAGTCACACGGCTCTGGGCTATCAGGTGCTGTTAACTCATCAATGTTGGATCGCACTTTAATTGGGAACGGGTGTTTGACACTCCTCTTCAACAAATTTCTCGAACCTGCTACTTGAACCACTGCTGCTCTTACTCTACCGTCAAGTCCTGGCAACAACTCCCTTTAAACTCATCAACAATAGATGAGCTTGGGGAAGGTGCCTGGAAAGATAGTGGAGCCTCGAGCACAAGAGCCGAGCACGTAGGGTAACCATGACAACCCTGTGAGCGGCAAACACCAGGCACCGTCACATTGCAAAAAACAGTGGTACCATGATACCTACCTCATACTTACCAGGAAGGGAGGGTGGCAAGAATGCACGTGAGAATCAGGGTTCGTACGGGTCCTGGAAAACCTGGAAAGTCCTGGAACTTTATTGTGGCCTTTTCCAGGACTGGAACGTCCTGGAAAAGGGCTACTGGTCCTGGAAAGTTCTGGAAATCTCTTAAAGTGCCTATAACGTAAAAAAATAATTGATGCTTATTTGAAAGGCTTTTCAAAGTAAAGAAGAGTGGGATTTTCGTTTTTGGAATATCTTTTTTCGTTTTAGAGATATTTACATTTATGTAAGGAAAGTGATGACGTCATAGGTGGTTCCAACAAAACAGCACAACACTCAATCGAGAATAACTGGTAATATTAAAGCAGTGTTCTTTAAACTTGACACCAGAAATGTGCATCAAAAGAAACGTAATGACACACGTCGTGCCATTGCCACGACAACAGTTATGCCGCTAGTTCTGTTTTAATTGAGACTAAAATTCCTAGATTTTATCTTAAACAAGGATCATCCACTCCCACCAATCTAATGGAGAGAGTTAAGACAATATGGGAACCATGTGTGTTCCGAGCAAGACCCTCTGTCCCACTTTAAAAGGTAGCAAATGGGGATATTTGGTTTTTCACAGAAAGACTGGAGCCAAGAGTGTTGCCATGGCAACAACAGGTGTCATTCTGTTTCTTTTGTGATGTGCATTTCTGGTGCCAAGTTTGAAGAACACTGCTATAAAAGTTCTAGAGTTATGATTTAAAAAATGATTGACAGGCCTAGCACGACTCCCACTGTTTCGTGATAAACGGTCTTTGACC